ATCCCCAATACCACAAAAAAGAACATGGATCATCTGAGGAAAACTGCAATGAGAGAGCAGAATCAGTTCAAGAGAAAAGCCATGGGAGCTACAACCGCAGGCAGGGCCATAAGGGTGGAGCCACTCAAACCCTTTGGAGTTCACATCTTGCCACAGACTGCCTCAGATGCTGGGCATAAAACTATGGGACTTAACGTTTGCCCTGCTGGATTTTGGATTTGCTTTCCTTTCTATCCTCTATTTGTGCCTTTTGGAATGACAATGTTTATCTTGTTGTTCTTGCCATTGTATGTTGAAAGTATTTAACTTTCTTTTCACTGTACAAGGGCTTACAGCTAAGAGTTGCCTTAAATCCCAGAGAGACTAGGCCTGGACTTTTCAGCAATGCTGAAAATGTTAGGACTTTGGCAACTCTTAGAGATGGACTAAACGCCTTTTGCATAAAAGGATATACCTGAGTCTCTGGAGGAAAAAGGCAGAAAGTTATGGCTTGTGTCTAGATATCCCCCAAGTTCTCATGCATTTATAAGGGCTCTTTGGAGGTGGCTAGATTTGTGATATGTAATGCTGGGATTCATTCATGGTGCAATACTAGGATTAAGGGTGTGAATACGACCTGCACTAAGGACAGGTAGCCTGGATAAATATAAAATACAGAAATAGAACTGCTATTGTGGCTGCTTATTGTTTGTTCCTTGCTGCTTGCTGCCTTCTGCCTGCCACGAATTGTTTCTCCTCTGTGATACCCATCTGTCATGCCAACCTTCCTTGAGGCCAGCCAATTATGACTTGAAACCTCTACAAAGTGTGAGCCAAATAAACCTTTCCTCCTTTCAGAAAGAAAAGAAGGAAGGAGGGAAGAAACCATAGGACTGACTCACTATCCTCCTCCCATATCTGATGGATTCCAATACTGCAGACCCTATAAAGAAAACACTCATTAAAAGCATAGAGATTTTTTTTTTACTCATTTATCTTTTTCCTTGTTTTGGCGGGCTTCTTATGGTTTTTCTTTCATTTGCTCTTTGTTTTCTTTTTTCTTCCTTTTCTTGTTTGTTCTTTTCTGTTATTTTAATTTTCTTTTGCTCCTGACTAGGATCCTTTCTCACTTTTCTTTCTTCCTTCTCACTTTCTTTTTCTTTATTTTTCAAATTTTGCTTCTTTAACTTTCCCCTTTCTGACCTCCTCCATATTTATTAGTGTCACTATTTTGCTTTTGTTTTCTGCTTTGCTTTTTTCAAGGATCTTGTAATAGTTCACTATTTAGCCCAAACTGGCCTTGAACTCACAAAAATCCTCCTGCGCCTGCCTCCCAAGTACTAGAATTATAGGTGTGTGCACCATACCTGGCTATTAAGATTAAGATTTATTAATCTTAGATACTTAGTTCATTCTGTGAGGTTATTGTCGAATCCTTTCCTGTTGTTAATGGTGATATAATTGTTGCATTTAGTAGAAGATATTTACTGTATGTCAATATTTGGTTTGTCTTGGTATCTATATTACTATTACATATCTCACTTCTATTGTTAAGAGTGGTATAGTGGTAGTTTTTATTGGTCCTTAGGGTACACCAATATCCAATTTGTCTTTAAGTCTATTATTGTTGCAAATTTCATTGTCAAGAGACTCAGCAAACACAAGATTGAGGCTGTTGCATATACTATTCTATAGTAAGCCTTATTATTTTATAAGTAAAAGTACACTCTAAAATAACAATAAAAATGATGGTATAGTGGGCCAGGGTTTTAGCTCAGTGGCACCAAACCTGCCTCACAAGTGCAACTTTGATCCCCAGTACTGCAAAAAAAATTACAGTATAGTGAGGCATGATAGTAGATTTGTAATCCCAGCTACTTGGGAGGATTGGATTACAAATTTGAGGCCAGCCTAGGCAATTTAGTGAAACTACCTCAAAATAACATAAAAAGGGCTGCAATATAGCTCAGTGGTAGAAAACTTGCCTAACATGTGTGAAGCCCTGAGTTCAATCCCAGCATCACATACACAAAAATATATGTAGTACAGTGTAGTGAATGTCAGTAAAAGGTGCTTACTTTGAGGATCATGTATATGTACTTTATGAATATTGTGTATTTTTATATGGTTTTAGTACATTTGGTTTACTTATCATATCCCCATGTGATAGGAATGTTAGAGTTCCTTTATAATATTATGGGATGACTACTGCACATGCAGTCCATTACTGGCCAGAGCATTGTTATATGGCACCCCTAATCTCACTTCCCTAAAAATATGCGATGAAATCTCCTCCCAAGAAATGAAAAAACCTGGTTTCCTTTATACCCCTGATTAATGGAAACTGAGATTTGAAGAATAGCTCTATATTCTATTTCATTCTCTCTCTCCCTGACTCTAGAAATGCTTGATTTGGCTGTGTAAAAGTAATTCTAATTATAGTGATTTACATGAACTACTTACCATTTATGCCTAATTACCTCACAGCACAATAACAATTATGCATACATTAAATGTGTCACATTAACCTGGTTGTAAGTTTTATTTGATAACAAAAGCAAGGAGTCCTTAAATGCTCATTCTTCATAGTTTGTTGCTCAGATGGTACAGCCATCTACTCATAACTTCTTCCAATATTTGTTAGAGAAAACAATGTTATATAGGTAAGAAAAGGTAGCCTGACACACTGCTACCAATTTTCTCTCATGGATTAATAAATCTACCACTATGTCAAGGAAGTACATTTTATTTTAATACGATAGCACAGACTTACACAAAGTATCTTACAACTACAATGAAAAAAAAATAGTCTATTTAAACAACTGCATTAAAAACAAAATCAAAGTTCATAAAATCATAAATTTCACCAGAATTAAGAATTCTACAGAGAACTATCTTCTATTACTAGACAACCTCATAGCCCAGATTTCCTTCTGTGATAACTAACACAACAACATTTATTATTTCACTGGAGCAGCCCAAACAGACTAAGTCAATGGATTACATGAACAACAGCATCACTCTGTGAGACCTGGCTATGCATTGGACATCCCCTGCCTTGCTGTTCTCCCATGTAATACTATTCTAAATCTTCATTTCAGTGTTACCTAAAAGAATCTCTATTCCTCTCAACCAAAAGATGTTAACACAAGGGCTGCCTTTTACTTGATATAAAAATAGCATTATTTAATTATACTTTGAAATCCTTGCTTTTTTTCTGGTTTTGCCCTCAAATGTAAAATTACTTTCATCAGAATTTTAAATAAAACATAACTAATACATGTTATACAGTGCCCTTATCTAAAGACCTCACAACAAAAGAATATTTGGGTTGGGGGAAGGGGGAGACTGGTTAATTAAGGAAAAAGTAGTTTCTTAGGTTGAATCATATTATAATTCTTATTACTACTGCCATCCTTCCTAATTTAAAAATGATACCACTGATGAAACTGGCTTCTGTGATAGGATATATACGGGAATGAGAGTTTTCTTCATGTGACAGAATTTCAGAAAAACCTTAAAGCTGAAATTAAGGGGAAGCAAGTTTCCTATACATACTAAAGAGAGGCACTAAACACACCCATGAAGGAATTAATTAAAAAGAATAAAAATAGGCAAAAAAAAGGTCTAAAACCAAAGTGGGACTGGAGTGAACAAGGCAGAAAGCTGCTATCTGTAAAAATTATTGTTGCTTTATCTCATGCCATGTACTGTGGGGGTTGAAAGGAGAGAAGCACCCAAAGAGATTACAGTAAGGTGAGAGCCCCATACCTTCTGCACCCTCAGCTGGATGCTTACTTAGGTGAGAAGTCAACAGGCAGCTACCAAGGCAGAATGTGGAAAAGCTCAAGGAAGAACCTGACACATCCTTAGAAATAGGAGGGTGGGGCTGGGAATTTAGCTCAGTGGTTCCAGCACCTGCTTCCACAAGCGCAAGGGCCTGAGTTCCATCCCCAGTACCAAACAAAACAAAAGAAATAGGAGGGTTACAAGACAAAGAAAATTTGGTGCCTGCAAAAGTCCAAAGGTAGGAGGCTGACTAAAGCTACCCGTGCAGCAGGGGTTATAGAAAACAAAATATCATGCTTCTTGTGGTCTAAGTGGACACCATAAAACGTGATCCAGTGAAAGCTGCTCTGAGAGGAACAAAGCTAAGTGCAAGGGCAAGGGGATCCCAGAAGAATGCGGGGGTGTCAGATTTTCACCAGTCCTAAGAGGAGTCAAAGAATGCAGCAGTGTTGACTTTCCCAAGAGAAGAACCCATAATGCTCCCCTTAACGAGCTAACATGTCAGCACTATCACACAAAATCCCCAAGAGCTGGTGGGGCAGCTAGGACTGCTATTTTGCCCTATGCTTTTATTCCTCTAATTTTGATTCTAGAGAAACCAGGCAAGCAGAGAAAGAAAGAGGAGTAAAAAGAGAACAAACTACACCCCCTTGTCTATTGCAGATCCTGCAGTAAGACTTGAGCCTGAGAAAGGGGAAAGCTTGGGACTATATTGGATTTGGAGAGGGAAAACTTCTGACTTTTCATTTCAACTGGACTTTTTTGTTTGTTTGTTTGTTTTAGACAGGGTCTCACTATGTAGTTGAAACTGACCTGGAACTCACCATGTAGTCCAGGCTGGTCTTGAACTCACAGCGATCCTCCTGACTCAGCCTCCCCAGTGCTGGGATTATAGGCATGCACGATCACACCCAGCTGGACTGCTTTTCTAAATAAACTAATTATGAAGTTTTTAACCCATGAAAGTGAAAGAAAGCTATGGAACATCAAATGGTCAGAAACAGAAATGCAATAGAACTTGCTGACAGAACTGGTGGGAAATTTTCCAGTTGTTTTATGACTGCATCCCATTGCATAGAATCCTTTTTATAAAATGCTTACATTTTTAACTGTTTCTTTTTTTTTCTAGTACCAGGGATCAAACTCAGGCCCTTGCGCTTTTGAGGCAGGCACTTGAACCACTGAGCTAAACCCCTGGGCATTTTTCATTTTTAATATCACACAAACCTTACCTTTGAAAGGAAGTCTTCTGCCTCTATACTGTATCTTTTAAGGTCCTCATGCAATTTCTGTAAACACTGTATGACTCTTCTTTGATGTTCATCAGCCTTTAGCTCCTGAGCTTTGATCAGAAAGTCATAGTGGTCCAGAGGTCCATGACAAACAGCCAAAGCTTTCAAATAGGCCTCAGAAGTAGCAGCTGGGGTGACATCATCAAGTGTCTGAACTGTGTAGGCTATAAATGAAAACATATACAAAATCTTAAGACTTTCTTAAATAAAGCTATTTCATAGCGCTCCACATGGGGCAAAAGACAAAAATATTTTTAAAAACCTTATGATACCACGTAGGGTGGCATGTGTCTGTAATGCCAGCCACTGTGGGTAGGGGTGCCACTGAGGTAGGAGAATCATAATTCAGCAAGGCCACCTGCCTCACAACCACAAGTTCCCAAGTTCAATCCCAGGTACCTAAAAAATTTTTAAAAAAAGAGACTTCAGTATTGGGCAAGTATTTATTGCATAATATAAAATGGGCATTCTGCTGAGCTGAGAAGAGAAAGTTGGTTCCATAGACACAGAAGAACTGAGGAAAGCAGAAACAGAAAACAAAAAGTGGAACCGATGTTTCCAAGTTATTGTTCATGTTAAAGCCAGAGACTTTCCTGTTATGTTGGCTAAAACTGGCCTCTTTGGAAATTTGGCCAAATCTCTTGATCTCTGGGAAGATCCTATACACACTTTTGATTTGATGATATTGAACTTTATCATGAGTAATTCTATTTTGATTTGGTCTGATGGGCCCTAATGTAGAAGCTCAATCCAAATTGATGACCTCTTCTTACAAGTTTTGTTTAACACTTGAAATTCATCTCACTGTTTAAATGAGTGGCTTTCAAACTCGTGTGTGGTGTGTGTGTGTGTGTGTGTGTGTGTGTGTGTGTGTGTGTGTGTGATATCAGGGATTGAATTTGGGACCTTGCACTTCCAAGGTAGGCGGTAGAACCACTGAGCTAACCTTGCACTTCCAAGGTAGGTGGTAGAACCACTGAGCTAAAACCCCGGCCCTCAAACTCTATTTTAATAGCAAAACTTTTTCTACGATAAAATCTTCCATGGAATCCTCAGGTTATTAAAGAAAAAAGTGAAAAGAAAGGGACATAAAGCCCCATCCTCTTCACCTCTCCTCTTACCTACATCCATACCACTCCCATTTTCCTGAAGCTACTTCTCCATCCTACAGAATCACATTAAGTACAAATAAAGTGAAGAAGAAGGTTAACACAGCAGGACTGAGACTCTCTCCATAGAGAGGCCTGTTTACAAGATTGGACCTGATGGTACTTGAATTTCAAGAGGTTTTCGCTGTCCCCAGAAATGGCAAGAGTAATTCACTGTGTCTAAACTTCTGTATATGCACACTGTAGATTTGGATGAACCTATCTTCGTTCAACCAGTCTGGACCCTTGACACGTTAGGCAGAAGGTACCTATGTGACCAGCCTCCAATAGACCCTGTGTGTCTAATGAGCTCCTCTAGTAGACAACATTTCATACCTGTTGTCACAATTAGTTGCTAAAGAAAGTAAGTATATTCTGTGTGACTCGCTCTATTGGGAGAGCACTCTTGGAAGCTTGTGTCTGATTTCCTGTTCCATGTACCTTTTCCCTTTGCTGACTGAGCTTTGTTATCCTGTTGCTGTAATAAATCCTACCCATGAGTATGATTAATGTGTTGAGTCCTCCTAAAGAATGTGCAAGCCTGGGGTGGTCTTGGGAACCCCTGACACAGAAAGTATCCCTCTTCTGGGATTCAAAGAATCCATAAAACAGCTCCAATCTGAATTCAAGACTGCTCTCCCTGTGTAATCTAAAATACATCCATTGAGCTGGGATTTAGCTCAGTGGCACCATGCCTGCCCCAAAAGTACAAAGTCCTGAGTTCAATCCTGGATACCAAAAAAATAAAATACAATATAACTGTTGATAAAAGAAATGATCAAGTAACCACTGCATGGAATGGGGAATAAAAAAGTTTTTGTTTGGAGCAGTAATATATAGACAATCTGGCAGGGAGAGAGAAAATGGCAGAGTGGTGATCAGTAGCAAAATTTACCCTCTCTGAGACCCAGAATACAAACACTGATAAATAACAACTTGTCAAAGTTGCAAATCACCAGGGACCAGAAAAGAACTGACAGAAAAGGAAAAAAAAAAAATGAGAAGCACAGAGAAGTTGGAAGCAGCCCACAATGCAGAAGGAAAAAACTATTTGGACTCTCCCCTGTTCTCACAGCTTGAAAAAGGCTTCTCAGAAGCAAGGTAAGTGTCCAGGGCTGGGAGATGCAAGAAGATTCACAGCAGAGCCAACAGCCTTTGTGAACTACAAAAACAGAGTGGGATTTTGTCCCAAGGGGACTCCTTCTACACACAGGCAACCGCTGAAGGGGGAGTCAAGCATGAGTGCCCACCATATTACCAGAGCTTAATCAGGCACCACTTCAAGAAGTGGTTGATTATTTAAATCTGGGACTCAGAACAACTACTTTAAGGCTCCCAGTGTTACCCTCCCACAGTGACTGGATGGGAGACAGTCACAGAAGACAGCCTTGCATGGGGACCCACATCTCTCACCATGTACTAAACTAAAATAAAAATGGATCAAAGATGTATATATTAAAACAAAAAGTGAATCTGCTGGAAGATAAAATAGCTAAAACTCTTGAAGACATAGGTGTAGCAAAAACTTTCTGAACAAAACCCCAATTGTTCAAGAAATTACATAAAAAATCAACAAATGAGATTATAGCAAATTAAAAACTCCTACAAAGCAAAGGTTAAAAACTGGCAGAGTGAAGAGACAAGCTACAGAATAGGAAAAAAAAAATTGCCAGCTACTCCTCAGACAAAGGACTGATCTCCAGAGTATACAAAGAAAGTAAAACAGATGAGGGGCCAGGGATTTGGCTCAGTGGTTCTGCCGCCTGCCTCACAAGCACAAGGTCCCGAGTTCGATCCCTGGTACCAAAAAAAAAAAAGAAAGAAAGAAAGAAATCAAAACAGTTCAAAAGACCTAAGCAAAAAAAAAGGGACAACTGAAATGAACAGACATTTCTCAGAAGTAGAAGTGGCCAATAAAAATACGAAAAAATGTTCAACATCTCTGGACATTAGAGAAATGCAAATTAAAACAACACTGAGATTCCATCTTACTCCAAAATGAAAGCTAACATCCAGAAGTCAACCAATAAGAAACATTAGTGAGGCTTCTGGGGTGAAAGAAACATTTCTTCATTGTTTTGGGAATGTCAACTACTATAACCATTACGGAAATCAGAATAGAGATTCTTCAAAAATCTAAAACAATGCCAGGGATTTAGCTCAGTGGTTCCTCCACAAGCACAAGGTCCAGAGTTCAATCCCTGGTACCAAATAAACAAACAAAAAAAGTAATCGGGAAAAAATCTAAAACAAGAAATTCCATTCAACTTCCTGAGTTAGTCATTGTATTACAGTGATACATGTATGCCTATGTTTATAGAAGCACAATTCCCAATAGCTAAATCTTGGAAGTGGGCTATATGTCCACCAAGATAATGAATAAATAAAGAAAATGTGGTATTTATGCACAGTGGAGTACTAGTCTGCCATAAAGAAGGGTGAACTTGAGTCATTTATAGGAAAATGGGTACACCTTGACCATAATGTTAAGTGAAATAAATCAGATACAAAGTTTACATAATATCACAGGGTTTCTGTTACATGAGAAATCCAAACTATAAAGAGCAAAATAAAAGACAGATAATAGAGGCAGGGGGAAGAGATGGAGGAAGGTAAAGGGCGAAAAGAAGCCCTGACAGGAGGAGAAAGGGTGTAAAAAGAATTAAGAGGGGGCCAGGGATATAGCTCAGTGGCACCACACCTGCCTGGCAAGTGCAAGGTCCTAAGTTTAATTTTCAGTACCACAAAAAAAAAGGAATTAAGATATGTTATGTACATGTACCAGCTCCTCACAATGAATATAGTCATTATATACTTGCAAGTACGTTCTTATAAAAAATATTCCAAAAGTAAAATAAATTTGGGTACAAAGACTGGCTATGAAAACTCTTAAGTAGGAAATAATGCAGGCTCAACTTGTAAGAGCAATAATAGAAATGTTAAGGAGGTGGGGAAACTGAAAGTTCAAAGGTAGATTCAGCAGCATAGGCTGCCTGTCACCCAAACTGGATTATTTCCCATGTCTCAAGCAGTTCCCATGGACTTCATGGTCTCACTTTTGTTGACACACATAGGTTGCCTCACCTGAATGGTCTCCTCCTCCAACCTCTGCCAGCCTCATTTCTGCTTCACAAATGCTCTCCCACCTTTCAAGGTCACTCAGCTTCCTAACTTCACACTTCAAGACTTCAGCTTCTCCTCCCATCCCCTTCTTTTCCCTTGAGGTTACAACTTGAGAGTCGTTTCCCATTCCATCAGAGGCTATTAGTTCCTCCACCTGTCCTCCCATCAGAGGCTTTCTAGCTTTTCATAGACCTCTTTTTATATCACAACTCAACGTAACACTCACATAAACGCAGCTGGAACTAATATAGTTGTAAAAGTATGAAATAGTAAGAAGAAAACCTTTCTATACATCATGGAGTCTTTTTAAAATACAAATTGTTTTAGAGGCTCAGGGTATAGCTCTGTGGTAGAGAGCACAGGCTCAGCATATACAAGGCTCTGAGTTCAACCTCTAGCACTCCTAAAAATTTTTTTTTTGTTGTTAAACAGTAGACAAAAACTCCCTCTAGATTTAGTTATACTAAATGTCATGTATTTTACTTATGTACCATTCTGGTTTGGGTTTCTATTGTAGAACGAATGCTTTTTGAGGGCAGCAATTTTTGTCTGCTTTGTTTAATGCAATAAACAGTACCCAGCTCATGGTAGGTACTTATTGGTTTTTAACCCATGCCTTCCAACCTTTGCAGCGATCTTGTTTCTCTCATTAACCACCTATATACTGTATCAGTCTCCCCTCTCTACTAGTTTCTTCCTACCACTCAACCCTTTCCCTCATTTTGAGAAAACACCAACAAGGGTTGCAGGGATGGGAAGGAAAGAGGAAAAAAGAATCAAGATATATTATGTACAGATACAAAGTCATATGATGAATGTTATCATCATATATATATAAAATATACCAATAAAATTAATTTTTAAAAAAAGAAAACACATTGCTGGGCGTGGTG